AAGTACTCAAAATTTTTGAAATCTACAAAACTATACTACTGTTGTAACGAACATAATCTGCTGCAGTGACACAACGATGCGATGACAACAGTCGATGTTATCCGGTAACAGCCCAATGTGATAACATCCAGGATTGTGCAGATAATTCTGATGAACGGGATTGTTCAGAAACAAAATGTCAAATGATACTAACCGAACCTACCGGTATTATCAGTTTACCTCCGGATTATTATCCAGGAGTGATTTGCAGTTGGAAGATTGGTACAACAGAAAATACCGATAGATCGTTAATAGTTCTAGAGGTTAAACCTGTTAGATGACTTTTCTTTTATTTTATATCATTTATATATATATTTCTTGCCAACATTTATTGATGTTTATTGAACAGCATATAATGCTGATTTTAAAAGGAGTTATTATTTTTATTATTTAAAAAAAAATAAGGAGAGGAACAAGAGAAGATGTCTTGAACATAGAAAAAAAAGTTAATTACAAAATTATATATTGTTTAGCGTATCGAATAGATAACAAAGTTTTGTAGGTGCTAAATAAATAAATTTGTATTTTTTCAAAAGATTTTTTTAAACTTATTAGGCGTTAAATACTGCTTTTTTTCTTTGTTTTAGCTACATAATCACGGTATCGATGCAACAGACTTACTTGGTGTTACATTTTCGGATGTAAGCCCAAACTCTGAAACGCAGAAGTTTAATGTTTTATCGCATGATTATCCACAAAAATATTCATTTGTCAGTTCATCATTGACGTTGTTGTTCTCGAGTTTGTCTACCAGATCAAGGAACAAAAATTTTACTGTAAAATATGAAGTCCAAGGTATTTATTTATTTTATGTTCCACACGAATCAAGCATTTAAAAAAAAAAAAAAAAAGAATTCTTAACATCAGTTAAAATTTTTAATTTAATTAATTGAGTAATTTTGTTGCGTGATTACCCAGTTCCAGCTACAGATCACTTCGTTAAATTCTTTTTTTTTTTTTTGCAACAATACCAAAATAATTTGTGGGAACATCGGTTAAACAGTGATTTAGATACGTTTATAAGCTGTTAAAAAAGGTCATGTCTACAAATTACGTACTTATTTTTTATAAAAAAGTCTTGTTTTTTTTTTTGCTATTTTTAAGTTGAAAGAAGCTGCAGCGAACAATTTTTTGGTAACGGTTCTTGGTCGCTACCAAAAACAGCAACAGATGACTTCTTTTATCCCAGTAACCTATACTGTGATGCTAGCATTAAAAACCTGAACAATCAAATTCTCGCGATTCAGGTTTATTTCAATTAACAATTCGTCAGCAAGAATATCAACTTTTGGTGATTTCAATTTTCTGATTAGCAGAAATGTTTGAAGAATATCGAAATAAAGCAATTAAATAAAACTAAAAACTCACGCTAAAAAAATTAAACCTCCAAATAAATAAAGGAAAATAGCTGTTTCAAATGCAAATTTTTGGAAAACATTCAGATTATGGATTTTCAAGTTGCTAAAGGAGATTTCCTAAAGATTTATGACGGAGAATATCATCAAAATAATCTGTTTGGTGAATTTACGAACACTGAGCACCCACCAACGTCATTTTTTACTCGATCTTCGGAAGTAAATCTTGATTTTCTTTCACAACGAGACAGTCCCGGTGCACCTGGATTTAGAGTAGTTTATCATGAAGGTGAGACAAAAAGTTCTCATTTTTATCTTTTGGTACTTATCTTTTCAGTACTGTTAAGTCGAAACAAAATTTAAATGTTACTTCACTTATTCTAACCTATCAATACCAATTTTATCATTCGCCTGACTTTAGTGGCATAGGTCTTTTGACACATATTCTTTAGGTTGTCTTAATGAAGAGCTGTTTGCTAAAAGTGGGCATATTGAAAGTTTGGCAGCTAGATTTCCACTACGTCGTCAACCTTTTCATTGCTCTTGGATTTTAAAAGTATGTCACAAACAGCACTACATTTGTTACCTGTACGGAATTCAAATAAGCCACATAACTTACCAACAGCTTTAATAAAGATAATAAATTTTCTTTTAGGTTCCTTGCAGTGGTAACAAAAAATGTCAATTTACTCTGTATATAGATAACCTCAGTATGACTGATAAAGATCGAATCATTGTAAGTGTGTCTAGTTTGAAAAAATAAGAATAAAATTTTTAAGACTGTCGTAATGACCAGTCTTTTTCCTATTTATACTTGTTTTTCAAGAGTCAAAACAAAAAATTTTTGTCTTGGAGAAAATATAATTTAGTTAACGTCTGGAAGAAATGAATATTTATTGACAAGGTACGATGAATTGCCTGTAAGATACCGATCGACAACAAACACAATACATGTAGACATTGTTTCTGAGTCTGCAGCGGCTGCAGTTGTTGCAAAATTTTCTAACGGTAAAGCATCAAAAGTTTATTCTGCGGAAAAATTATTTTTTTCCCCCAAACTACGTTTTACAGATTGCCCATTTATAACACTGCATAACAATACAAGCGTTAAATATAGTAAAGATCAAGAATATAGATCAATAGCTAAATTTACCTGCGATGAGGGTTATAGCTTAAGCGGAGCAGCCAGTGTTCAGTGTGAAGAAAACGGTCAGTGGTCTGCAGAAATACCTAAATGTGTCGGTAAGAAACTGAATTCATAAAACTAGTAGGAAAAACCTGTAGTTGAAATATCTGCAAGACAAGTAAGTCGGTGATCTCATAGTCTTTTTTATTGCAGATACTTATTGTGCTCTGCCTATAATTATAAATGGTTTTGTTATTTCTGTGAGTGGGTACACAGTAAACAACACCCTTACATACGGTTGTCAACTCGAATACAAATCTGGCTCATCTGTTCCATCCAAATGCAATAGTAGCGGCGAATGGGATCCTCCTCCAGACTGCAAACGTATGTATAGTTATAGTTTTTTACTTTTCTTTCTATTTTTTTGAAATGCAGACGACTTGTTTACCGAAAGTGTGTTTTTGCTGTGTTTTAATAAGCAGTCTCCCCTGATATAGTTTTAACTAGATATCCTCTGAATCAGTCGAAATAAGAGATCGTAAAAATGACACTTTTTTGCTTGTAAAAATATTATTCCTCTTTCGGGGCACTTTCCGTTCTACACTTCTCCTCTTTCCATTCTCTTTCCTTTGTTCGCATTCAACCTCTGTGGTATATATCAAATGGTAAATGATTTTAAGGAGTGGAAAAATGAAACAAAACTACGGTCTATCATTTTTGTGACAAACATTTTAGCTTGTAGTATCTCAGTAGAAAATACCTTGCTAGTATATAGTGGTCTAATTAGAAGACAAAGTAGATCAAGACGGTAAGTTGAAGGAAATGGAAGTACCAATAAGTTGGTTGTAAAAATTGAATATTTACGAAAATTAAAAATTAGAAAAATACAGAACTTTTTTTATGTTTGCTTCTTGAAAACCTTTTTTCTTTTAAAATAGTATTTTTGCAAGTGTCCAGAAATCAAATACATAGATTATTTCAGACGTCTAGAAGAGTTTAAAAAATTTGTTTCACGTCTCACCAGCAACTTTCTCGCGGTTTAACTCAAGGAGCTTCTTTTTTCTTTGAGGGTCTTCAATTGTTTTTTTAACCATTTGTACCTAAAAACAACAAGGCTGTTAAATTTGTCTTTTGACAGCCTTCTTTCTCCTTAAGAAAACTGTAAGAAGATGAAAGAAAAGATTTTTCTTACAGGAAAGCACCAGCTATATTCTTTCAATTCCAGTTAACCATTGTAATAATACTTTTCAGTACAATATGCTTACATTGTTCTTACTGCCTATAATTTCCAGATGGCTTAAAAGTTAATGAGAGCAGAACTGTTTTAGCTATCATGTGTGATTCAGCTGATATTGACACTTATAATGACGCTTTACTGGCTAATAAAACTCGCGGTAATAAAGTATACAGCAAAGCACGGTACTACAGTTGTAAAGATGATTCATCGCATTTGGTTGGCACCCAGTCCCCGTTCCGCGAATGTCAAGAAAATGGAACTTGGACATATCCCGATTTTAGGTGTGAGCGTAAGTTTTTAGTGGCATTGGAAAGAAATTTTTTTGCAAAGTTTTAAGTCTGATTTGTTTATCATACTGTTCGAGACTCGTTTAGTAAACCATTGTGATCCGATTACATTTCTATATGGAACAATGAAGGAAAAACGGTACGTTGTGGGCGAAGTAGCTGAAGTCGACTGTGATGACGGTTTCAGTCTGGAAGGTGACCCGCCAAAATGTTTAAAGAATGGTACTTGGAATTTTACGCCTAACTGCCAAAGTAAACGTTTTTACGGAAACTTTTTTTTTACTTTTCACTTATTTTTTTTATTTTTACCACTCATAGGTAACTAAATTTTTACCTGACACTTGTATCGGCAAAGAAGATTATTTGAGGTAAAAACTTCTGCAATAGTTTAACCTGCGGGGAGGAAGGTATATGTAAAAACAAGTCGGCTGACGGTTATGCGTGTCAGTGCAAACCTGGATTCCAATGGTCCAAAACGAATAAAATTTGTGAAGGTAAGCTGAGAAGTACAACAAGCAAATGACTGCATACGACTAAAAACTTATTTTGTAGACGTCAACGAATGTCGGGAAAATGGTTACTCGTTTTGTAGTGAAACGTGTACCAACAATAATGGCTCATACAGTTGCAGTTGTTCTAATGGGACACTGTATGACAAAACTCAGCATGACGAATTGATTCTCAAAAAGCAGTACCTTGTTGATCAGGAATCATGCTTTGGTAAAAACTGTTTTTGAAAAGCTAGTGTGTAGTGCATTGAAAAAGAAATATAGGCTGTTAGTAAAAGAAGAATTGAGCATAGATTGAGAGGTATCAACTGGCAGAATAATAGTGGCCATTTTTAATGCATTATGATTGGTATTCTTTGGTGACAGCTTATGCTAAAGAAGGTGATGCAGAAAGTTGATTTCTTTAGTGCCAAGATGTACAAAACTAAAAAACCTACCACTCAACGTTTTCCCGTATGCTTTGAATCCAGTAATTTCCAATGGCTTGTTCTTGGTTAATTCGTCATACACATTTATATGTAACTTAACCTCTGTTATTGGATTTAAGACAGTTACTCTGACTTGTGAAATGTCGGAGAACCGCGTTCCTCAGTGGAAAACTGTTGGAAACTGTACCGGTATGCCTTACCAGTAAAGAACTTTTTAATCGTTGTTCATCTTATTTTATTCTTTTTTTTAGACATTTATTTAAAAAATTGTTACATAAAGTTGACTACTAGTGGTGAAAGGAAAAAAATGGCTAATGATGACGTCAAAAAAGAATTGTCTGCAATAAAAATGTACAACGATAAAAAGTTTTTTTCTTTTTGAGATTTTCATTTAGAAGTCCAGCAGATGTACAGTTTGTTAAAAACAACAAACTTAATAGGTCATGAGATTGCAGACGGTATGTGTAAAGCTGAACTAAAAGATTCTGATCTGATAGTTACACCGCACGCTAAACTATATCACTCTGGAACTACAGTTACTTTTCGTTGTGGCAACAGCAACCTGGTTCTCTCTGGACCCAACCATTCAATGTGCATCAATTCAGTTTGGTCAAATACGTGGCCATCATGCTGTGAGTTTAGGTCTTCACTTAGAATCATAGAAACCTTGAAATAAATAGTTAATTTACATTTTTTTTTTTTTTTTTTTTTTTTTTTTTTTTTT